TCGCCGATGTATTGATGTACATAAATAACTTTAAGTATACCAAACTTTAGTAACGTTGAGTCTTTAATGACCAGATAAGTCATATTGCATTCATATTTATTCACATGTAATGTTAAAACAGAACGAAGGAAATACGAAAAAAATAACCAGTTTGCCCGCAATACAATATGTCATAATAAATGTAATATGAAAATCTTCAAGTGTAACTTTTAATAAATTTGTAGCTGCATTAATACAACAAAAACTTTATATTATATATTGCATATAATATAAATTCAATAATTTATTAAATACACAATATATTTACTTTATAAATGTAATTGACAGAATTGCAAAATTTCCATCATCGATTGTGTGTCTCACCGTTGTGATAATCATGAAAGTTTATCTGGTTTTTATCACATCAGCGGCGCGAGATCTCCGCTCGATATTTGATAACCGACGGACAGATATTCGAGAGCGCCGATATCCTGCGTAAATCCGCGCGTACTCGATTGTGACCGACTAACGCGTCGACGAAAGGACAGCATGCGTGAGAGTGGGAGCGTGACATTAAATAATCGTCGTGCTTCGCTGGTATAATCTCGTAAAAAGCACGTGAGCGGAAAAGCTACCACACGGGGGTTAGAAAAGCGTCGGAGTATAGACGGAGTGCGGAAGAGGGTTGATGGGTACGCGACGCGGCGGTGGTGGCGGCGGCGGCGGCGGCGGCGGCGGCGAGTAGCTGGTGGCACAATCTCCGGTAATGATTGGTCGTCATGGAAACGAGCCAAGCACCCGCCTCGCCCTTTTTCCTCCGGGCAGACCGAGCGGCGTGCGTCGCGACGCTCCGCGGAGAGTCGAGGAGCGTCGCGTCGCGTCGCATCGCATCGCGGGTTGCAACGGCGCCGACGCCTTCGGCTATTTCCACACCCCGCGGCAAAGTTAATCTCACTTCTCTCATCCTCTGCCTTTCCCCGCTGAAGGTTTCGCGTATCAAATTTTTAATCCAAACACGGTATTGGCAAAAGAGATAGGTAGATAAGTAGATAGATAGATAGATAGATAGATCGAGAGAGAGAGAGAGAGAGAGAGAGAGAGAGAGAGAGAGAGAGAGAGAGCTAGAGAGAGAACATCTCGTTCTTTTTGAAATCGGTTTGTGAAATTTAGTCGAAAAGAGCATATACATGAAACTGTCATAATCATTATTGTTTGATGAATGTTAACTTTACAATTATTTCAATTACACTGATAAGGCAAATATAATATATCGAACTAACTATTAAATTTACATCACACAATGATGCAAATTCTGTGCTATATCTGTGCAAAAAATTTACTCAAGTATTTACTCAAATTTTCTTGTTACATTTTTTGTTCATTTTCTTATGCACGACATTATTTTGAGAGAGAGAGCAAATTTTTATCATTTTTCTCATACTTTTCTCATATTTTTATTTCGTCATTCTATGTAATAAAGTATGAGTGACATATGAACTACTCATAAGGGATGCATCTTTTGCCAGTCGACTAGTAAAGTTACTGCCAAATTTACGTATATCTCTTTATCTGGATACTGCGCAACGACGCGTTCCTCTTGTTTGCCTAAAATCAGCCCGGAAGAGAGATTGGATGTACAAATACAAGTTTATGGTATTTACTACATTTCGTACCGAATATCGCGACCGCCATCGTGACGCCCTACCAGACAAACTCCGATCTTAACCGACTACTTCGCATTTTACTGTCGCACCGAAATTTCACATAAAGAGCGCGATAGCGCGTATAAAAAGCGTGGAAGGTCCTTGAGACATTTTCTTACTCATCGCGACGTCCCCAGTAAAACTTTAACAGGACGCGCAGTTCCGAGTGCAGTAACGACCACGATTTCCACGTAAGCGAAAGGGATCGGCATGGCAATAAATTCTGTCAATTATCCGACGGCGACATACCGAGTCCTGCAATTTCATTGGTAGCTTTCCTCCCTTCCGTCATGATAGGTTGCGGCCGAGTTGTCACCCTTCTTACCAGATTCGAAGCCAATTACAGACGTGCCGCCGACAGTTTCTTACCGCCTACCTGTCCGTACCTCGGCCCGGCAAGAAAGCAACGGCTGACAGCGACACGTCGGCTCGTACGACGAGCTGTCAACACCGGTCTTTTTTTTTTACATCCCACTCTTTTCGCTCTTTTTTCCTTTTATATTCGCGGCCGCACGTTATAAGAACGCGGTCTTTCGATCGGCGAGCTCTCTCTTGTTCCGCATGGCATTGCACAATAACGTAATGTGTGACATAATGATAACGGAGGGGAAATGGTATACCGCGAAATGAAATGTATAACATGTGCGGCGCACGTAACACGTTCACGTAGCAATGGAATGTCAAACGTGAAAGTAGAAAAAATAAATCGTGCCAGATTTTACCATCTTTGCAAAGTAAATATAATTTTTACTTGACGCAATCGCGTCGGAAAATTTTCACCAGAGGGATGAGGTGTCTCGTACCTGCGAGCGAATGTGTGAATTTAGTTAGTTGGTAAAAAATTGATTACGATTTATTACTCGAGTTCGAGCGGTTCATTACGCTATGACGGTGGTTTCAGCATCATCAGTCAATTACGGCACCCGCCGCCCATTCATTTTTGTCATTGCGCGTCTGTAAAGAATGCATTTTTTTATCTACTTTGAATTTCCAGGTTGGCGATTTCTCTTTTTTTTTCTTTTTTTTTTTTTCTTTTTGAAAGGCAGAGAAGCAGTGTAATACCCTTCGAGCTCTTCTCCATTTCGCCATTTCGCGGAACGATATCTCTTTGTCACAATTACGATGATGGAGAGTGCCGAGCGGCGAATGTCGGGCTGCGTGATAACGCGGCAGATTTTTTGCACGAATTCCGGACGCCTCTCCCCTCTCTGTCGCGCGCGCGTTTGCAGAGAAATGGCAATTTAGATCTTTTGGCGAATGTTCGTTCAATGGGCAATCTGTAGTCGCTAATCTGTCGCCTTGATTGACGGCGCTACAGAACACTCATGGAAACTTTAGCAACCGAAGTTTTCCATATATAACCGCGCACGCGGTTTTCCATATATAGGCGTACGCTAGGGCGCACCGGGGTGGATAATCGAGAAAGTTTAGTTCCCGGTAGTAGCTAGAGACGCGCCGGATATACGCGACTATGAATTCTGGGGAAGGACCGCTGCCTCGGACTGTGCTCGGGGATAATCGCCGCCGCGAGTTACCAACACGGCTTTTTATCCCGAGAATGCTCAACGAATACTCCTGACGTCACTGTGCCGCATTCGTGATCATTACGGATTTATTTTTAGGCACGCGGAGGTGTAAATCTCGTAGAATCGTAGAATCGATCTGGCCAAGCTGGTGCGACGTTATTACTATTCAGATCCGCCGCAAATCAGAGAAGCACGTTAAATCGAGAATGTACTCTCGGCTCGAGGAGACTCCGATATTTTTCGCCCTTTCGCTCAGATTGTTACACGACGATTGTATTCACGGAGAGAATTTTGTGGCAAAAGTTACCATAGGATTTTGTAACCGAGGAATAGATCCACATTCTTAGTCAGTAATTGATTCTCTTTACATTTCGTACGTGCCATTTACAGCAGAAACTGTAAGACTGAAGTGACTGAAGCACGTTGCAGCTTCTCTCTCACTTCCTGGCGGATAGCGTCCTAATTCTGACTTGAGACACTCTACTAAAAACATAATAAAATTGAAAGAATTAACAGAATTTCTATAAAGAAAAAAAAATTATAATATTGTTTCTCGTGTAATACATATCATTATTTTGCGTCATATATATTTTACACATGTAAAAGAGAGAGAGGGAGAGGGAGAGAGAGAGATATCTTTGGATATATGTACGAAGGGATTGCATTGAAGAATATCGGCAAAGTTTATTTCGAACTCCTTTAAAATATATCGTTTGCTCTATTTTTCTTTTATAAAGTTTACCGCAGAATATCAGAATTGTCCTCGCCTTGTTTTAATCGCGGAAAGAAAAAATCGTGCAAATTTAACAAAAAGTATTAAGCGCACTTAGTTACCGCCTAACGTAAACTACAGTCAGGATTATCTAAATATTTCACTTTTTGTTGATATAATGCGATTAAAGATAGACCTCTTGTGATATTCTCAAGCGCAGAGGTCTGCGAAATGTTGGTTCAAGTGCTAACGTTTCTAATGACAGGCTTATATTTCGTAACAGCGATTTTATCCAGCGAAATGCTAATGCGCCGTTGAGATCGAATATTAAATATTTGCCGACATACAGGCGCAACTATTATTGACGAAATACCGATTAACTGTAGATATCACCGGTAATTACCAAGTTTCGCTCAATATGTTGCATAATGAAAATAACCCTTTAATATATATTAAACGAAGAGATTCCGATCATCCTGTAGAACAAATGTGCTTGCCGAAGATATTTCCAACGTTGAAAACGTTGGTGGAAGAAAAGATTTGCTGCGCGGTGGTGAAGTACAGTTATTTTGACGTAATTAATGCAATGTCATTAATTTAAAGCTGCATGTACCATTAATATAGTATTTTTACACCAAAAGCAGAATACATTATTGTATTCTGATTATCTTATGTGACGTTATTTTGAAGTAATTTTAAAGGATACGCCAAGACTCGTGAGATTTTTCACGATGCCCGCCTCTCCTTTCTATGAGCAATTTCGAAAAATCATCTCTCATCGTGTCGTTGTTGATATTTTACGGGCTATATAACTAAATAGACGGCGCTTAGGTATTTCGCCCACAACATTGGACTAACGCGACTCGTAATTTTGCAAGCTCTCTGGGCTTTCTATTTTCGGATATCCCGCGGCGGTTTCGATGCGATAAATTAGCGAGAAGACTTCGAAATTCATTTATTATATATGATGTTACATTTTAATCTGCATTGTGCACCGCGGGGTTGCATGCATATTGTATCAACCTGCCGAATAATAATAACGTTGCAACGTAATAACGGATGTGTTTGCGACTGTTTCAGAGGTGCCTTCTCTGTGGTTCGACGATGCGTGCAAAAGAGCACCGGTCACGAGTTCGCTGCAAAAATTATAAACACCAAGAAGCTCTCGAACAGAGGTAAGTAAAGATCATCCAATCTATTCTTCGGAATTTTGTTCGCGGGAGAATATAATTACCGTAAAAATACCCAATAGGTACGGAATCGATATAATGCATGTACATAGATGTATTTGAGTTTACATGTGTTTAGCGGTCAATGCGCATTCCCTTGTATAATATTACATGATACATGTTAGATGAGGTGTTAAACTTTGAGCTAATTTTTTTGATCTTGAAGATCTTGCATATATATATATATATATATATATCTATATTGTTTGCGCAAACAGGATTCACGAGGGAGGGGAGGAGGGTTATTTATAAGCAAACGTATCCGGGGATGATTTCGAAATCGATGAGTCATTATTATTAGACGATGCTTGATAGATTTGAAATCGATAACTGGTTATTTGTCATGGGTAGTTTCACCGTAAAATGTGCACACACAGCGCGCCACCTTGGCTCATAAATACCCGTTCATAAATATAAACAGAATTATCATTAATTATCAGGAATTGGACTTACGAAAGAAACTCTTGAGAATTTTGCGACAATGCGAATCTCGGGATGCAACATTGCTAGGACGTATTGCTCTGTCGTGATGATTAACTACAGGCTCGTATTCATCAATCATAAGTCTATATCTAAATAAATTTAAGTCGATATTAAGTCGATATTGTTGTATCAATATAATATAATCAGTTGTAATCAGTACAATCTGATAAATAATCGGAAATTTATGAGGTTTTGATTCACAAATAATGACGGTCTATAAATGTCGGGCTGGGTTCTAAATTTTCTTATTCTTGGCGAAGTTTGTCAAAAGTCTGTTAAAATCGAAAAGATTCTATGTGTAATAAGCAGGGTTGGTAACGTTACTTTATAAAAGTAACTCGTTATCGTTACCGTTATTTTCTCTAAAATGTAACTCGTTACAGTTATTTGTTACAAATTTTAAAAAGTAACTCGTTACAGTTACCGTTATTTAAAAAGTAACGAATCGTTACTTTTTCGTTACTTTGTTAAATGCTAAAATAAGACTAATTATGAGTTTGATAAGGGAAAATGGACGAGAAAGGGGGGGAGAGAAAGATTTATATCGTGGAATATAAATATGAGATAGAATAAATTGAGATATAGATATATCTGATATATGTATATCTGAGATATATCTAATTAGATATCGCTCGTCGTGCATCGCGCTGGGATACTATTCCGTACACGCTTACCGACAACTGTCGGATCGGTAGGCATCGTTGCGCAGCTTTTTTATGTTATAAAAATATATCGCTACGGAATATATCGCTCGTCGCTAATCACATCCAGTACAAGGACCAAGACAGAGGCTTAAGACATAAGTAAAGTGACCAATCACATGATCACAATCACAGTCATAATTGCAATCTGCCAGATTGAGGATGGACTATGATTGGTCATTTTGCTTATTGCTACTGGCTTATATATAGACCGAATTTAATAGATTTAAAACAAAAAAATAACTATTAGAGTAACGAATTAATTGTTACTGTTACTGGATAAATGTAACTACGTTACCATTATAGTTACCGAAAAAAAGTAACGGTAACGACGTTACAAGTAACTCGTCACTTCCCAACCCTGGTAATAAATATAATAAGTAATTTGACACATTTGTGTCTGCGTCCCTCCGTCCTACGTTCTTCGTCCTAGCTTTCCGATTCAGCATTCTGCTCCTGGCTGTTCCGTCACACAGAACACTCACTGACACTCGCTATCGATACGAGCCGATCGACGTGTTACTTAACGCGGAGTACATCGAGGAGAAGCGAAATATATCAATAGTAATATCATAAATATATCGATAGTAGACGCGATATTTCAGTCACCCGACGGGATTGTCAAAGTGAAACAACGCATCAATATAGACTCGGTCGTGAGCAAATGCGCGACGCTTGAGAGTACCAAACAATGGGCAAAAACGGTTACGTTATCTACAATCGTCACTGAGCGACTCTGAGCGAGAGATCACAACAATCCTAACATTATACTGAAACACATTCCGAACATTAAACTCATCAAAACATTACGTCTCGAGTCGACACACATATTACGACACGTGTATCAATGCGTTGCTTATAATTCCCACCGGCTTTCGTTAATTAACATATCGCGTTGATTAACACGCATTTCTCCGCTCGAATCGTGTCACGACAGAGAGAGAGAGCGGCCGGAAGCAGGATGGAAGTAGCTCGAGAAACTAAGAAGCAAGAAGAAGACGGTACGCGGTTAGTAATACATCGTATTAAGCATTTCGAGGTATGACATATTATACAAGTTTCCTGTTTGACAAATTCACAAATAGAAAGACATTCGAGTAAATTATAATAATTCATATAATAATAAATAATAATAACTCATATCAACAATTTGCATAAACAGCATATTTCAACACATAAACAAATAGTTTCATAAATATGTGATTGGCTCATCTGCACACTCAGTTTTACGTGTGGTACCTCACTATGGATAGATACTAAAAGTTTTCGATCAGTTGCATCCGTACTTGAGTATGCATTTCTCATGACTGTTGATTAATCCAAAAAGCGGGAACGTGTTTTCTGAATTGATTAACAGTGATGAGAAATACTGAGCTAGAAACGAATATGGCTATCGATCTATCGAATGGTAAGACACCTGAGGAGTTTACAGATGGCGTCGTTGTAGAAGCGCAGCCATCTTTCTGCGCCGAGCAACCGCCATTAAAGCATCGATCGATATCGCGTTTTACGTATATTTTATTTGTTGAAAGTGAGTCTCGCCCGAAAATAAATGTCGGGAGTGGGAACATAGCGGCGTGTTAGGACATATCGTAAGTACGTTATTAGCGAGTAATCTCCTTATTTCTCGGCGCATGTGACTCTCGTGAATTGGATTCTTTTTTTATATTATTACTTTTATTCCGATTGAGATTGAAAAATTTATATGCCGAAAATGAGATGTTTATTGTTATTAATATATTACGAGTATATTTTGTAAAGTGTATGAACTTTTTAGTGGACAAATGTCTATATGAAATTAAGTTTTTAAACAAGAGGGATCTTAGCTAAAAGGCGTCTTTCAGTCTCATTTCAAGTTAGGGCCTGAAATATTGCGTCCGAGAGATGAAGAGACGCTCGTTTCGCTCGTTCGGGACGGATGTAAAGACAGACTGTTTCCCGCTTTCTTTAACATGGCATAAATATGTAGGCATATATATAGTAGGCATGCTAGGTCGAAAACACGAAAGTCTCTCTCTCTCTCTCTCTCTCTCTCTCTCTCTCTCTCTCGAGTGTCTCTCCAGAAACGTCTGAAACGTTTCCGAGCCAACGAGCGTCTGAATCGTCATCGTAAATTTCCATTGCAAAGGAGTTGCTTTCGTGTCTTCATGCAGTCTCTTTCGCGCAATTGCACGATCGCGGAAAATGTCGGGGCCTGCAACATTATTACTTCAATTTGTTATTTACCATTAATACACAAGTATCTTTTCCTCCTTTTCGTATCTGAGTAAAGACGCTATCCATTTTAGGACTTTAGAATCGGCCCATGACACCTAGATCATCACTACGTGTAAGATTTTCGGTTCGGTACACTGAAACAAGAATTTTTGAAAATTTATTTGCGGGATATAAAGTTTCTTCTCACAGAAGTAAATTTTATATGTTACAAATAAATTTTCAAGCATTAGCTCGATATTGAATTATTATTATCGGATGATAATTCAAATCTAACAATGTTACGAAGAATGACGAATTACATGGTGACTTAGCCACTTCGTACTTTGTACGATAAAAACTTTCGAATCGAGATATATTATTATGGTATTTCCTGCAACGCGATATACATATGTCGTAATTCAATGTTGGAAAAATTTTCTTTGACTAAAATAATCGGCAAATTAATAATTAAAATTAATTAATCGTCATATATAAAGTCACAAATAATTTCGAATCGATGAAATTAATTACTGAATTATTGTTGAATTAATTACCAATCAAACTTTTGTGTGTGATTGATTACACACCGATTGCATTATTCGTGATTACGTATATGACGATTGATTAATTTTGATTATTGATTTGCCGATTATTTTAGTCAAAGAAAATTTTCATCAGTTAATATGCCCAACACAATCATACACGCAAACACGGCAGGGGTATACGCGACATGCGCGGCGCGAGACGTCGAGAAGAATGACGTGTTTGTTTCACGTTCGTGTGTCGATTTTTCGTCGAGGTATAAATGTTCGAAGAGTTGGAACTTTTAAAAGACGGTGTCAGGTGCTTTGCCGTCGACGATACGTGTGTACCACATTGTACTACATTGTACCACATTGTACCACATTGTACCATATTGTAGCGCGTTCTCACGTCGCAGACTTGACAACCTCAGCCTTCCCTAGTGGCGCGTCGACCGAAGCGAACGAGCATCGCGCAACTTTGTCTCCTCGGTTCCCTCCAAACAATTCGTCGGTAGTTCCAATAGCTAGCGATAGAAAAGAGTCGTAGAGATATCAAACAAATTGCATTCCGAGACTCTTCCGCTTCTGTTACGCTCTTTGCTTCTTATTTCTTTGTCTCCCTTTCGGACTTAAATCTTAAGCTAGAAAAAAAACAGAGACAAAGAGCTGTAGACCATTAGAAAACCGATTCTTTGCGATTAATTTTACGTGAATTTTACGTTAATATTGCAAAATATCAATCAACACCCTTCCGCGCGATTTCGATTCAAGCGAATCACATTGCAGGTGACATAATTTTTCGTTCGTGCAGTAAAAGTATAAAAGTAAATTATGATTTTTTAATCCTCTCCATATACTAAACACATTTTTACGTACAGTACAATCTGTCCGACCCGCACAACTACCACAACTTTGTTGAAAATCAATATTTTTATTCCACCTTTATTTCAGACATATAAAAACACTCTCAGCTATAAAATAGTAGCGCAATAAAATCGGATTTGCACTGTTTTGAAAATTTTCCGGATTTTCCACAAAAGTT